TAGGTTGTTATGGTTTTGGGTCTTCAGGTGGGTCTTTCCTAGGATTCTACCTATGGGTCTTTCGGTGTGTTGAGGGTTGAGGTATAGGTTGTTATGGTTTTGGGCATAGGGGGGTGGGCATGGTTAGAAAATGGAAATGGTCATTGCTAACTAATAGCACAAGATTTCTGATGCAATGTGGCGCCTGCGCCCTATGACGAAAACTCTGATGTGACAAAATCTAGTAGGAAGGTAATCAAGGTAATCCCCGCATACAATCCCTATAGTTAGAGGTAAGGCTCTCCCACCGAAGCAAGGTCACTGGCAGCAGAAGGCGGTTTGGCATTCTGGGAAAACGGGGTCGCTTGGACACCTTGACCTTCCCCAACGAGGAGCACCCTGTCGTAAGTATCTGGTGCGCGCTGTTGTGTGACGAAGGTATGACGCCGAGTGTTGATGCATAGTGGGTCAGGGTGCTACTACGTGTCCATGCAGGCGGTGTGCTTTGCGTAACGGAGCACTTTAGTCACGAACACTCAACCAGAGTCCAATGCCATCTAGGAAATGGCCATCAGCTAAGGTGGCACAAATGCTGCAGCTTGGCTAGTTCAGCCTTTTGTTCAAAGGCATGTGCCAAGGTTTGGTTTGGGGGCTGTCAGAACGCACCTAGACCGCAACCACAGCATGCACAGGCATGATCAACGACGGCAAAAAGATGCTCTGTGTCTCTTCTGCAGTGATGCATTTGCACATTGCCGCTGGGTGTATACAGCAACAAAGCTACAAACATGGCAAGACAATGGAGCAATGCTGGTCCAGAGCCTAGGGAGGCTCTTACTCAGGCGAGGATGTTACGATGATGCCTTTCTCTGAGCTCAAAAACCAGCACCATGGAATGTGGTGGCCCCATCTGATGCTTTGCCAATGGATGCTGCAAGGTGGAAGGAGAGGGGTGCAGCAGCTCAGGTGTGGGACTCATGCCTGCATGGGCCCTGACGAGCGCTGTCTGCATGTAGATCATCAAGATGCAGCCTGGCAATCTGAGTTTGCTGAGTGGCTCGATCCACAGGGAGAAGAGGGCCCTGAAAGTGCAGTCTGAGGCAGAACTCACGAAGCCCAAGAAAGGGCAATGTCCCGGGGATGCTTGGACTCAAAAAGAAACTGTTGTTCCCTGCCAGCTCTGGAAGGCTAAGCTGCTCAGCACATTGACATGGCATGCCTCATTCTATAACCCAATCCAACCAACCCTAGATGTAAACCTACATAACCCCATAGAACTGTACCAGCTGCCGCAGTCCCATCCAAGTCATGCCACGATGACTGCATTCAATCATCTGAGCGGCTGGAGTGCATCCACTTAGGCAGGCTCCTTGTCTCAGTGCTTGCTTGAGGATTGCTAGGTAGTTCAAGAGCAGACATGTAACTTTGAAGGCGAACTCACTCAAGATGCTGGCACGGAGGGGCACAACGCCCAATTTGCAGCCCAGCTAGAAAGGAGGAGCTGAATTGAGACATCCAGCTGGACTCCGCGCGTGCGTCATGAGCGAGTACATTCTGAGCGCATATTGACATGTTGAGATGCCCAGGTGCTGGGCGACTACAACCAGCCTGAGAAATACGAAGCTCGGTTCAAATAAGAAGCCAACAGGACACCTCTTCTGGTGAAGTTATGCGCCTGCAGTGAAGGAAGTCTACTCCTTGGCCATGCCATCGGTTTGGCTCCCCAGCGAATGGGTTGATTCTGCTCGGCATCGAAGGCCGCATTCCAGAGTGACTCTCAGCTGGAGGGTTTTGACTGTCACGCAAATGGAGCAGCACTTGTTTTAGTGATCCGCTGGGAGTCTCTTGCGGGAGGACGCAGCGCCACCTCTCCTGGGAGCAGTTCCTGGCGAGCTGAGACAGAAAAAAGCTGTGTGCTTGCAACACGTACTTCATGATGTCGCTTCCGGAGCCTGTATGCTTGTCATCAAGTACTAAGTACTGTTGGCCACCAGGAGCGGAAGACAAAAAGTGGGATCCTTGGAAATACCTTGCTGGGACTGTATCCGTAAGGCAGTTTTGGGACTTGCTGCCTTGGACATGGCGCTCTCAGCCTCGTAAGTCTGAACGCTGAGGCCACATCCAGTTCCAGGCACTTTGTTTGAGACCCTGCCACGGAATGTACCACGTCTTGTAGCTAGCTCATGCACAGCACTCAGCATCCTTCACATGACTTTCCTGCATGGAGGCGTAGAAAATCCAAATCAGCTTCCGCGAGAAGGAGGTCCCAGGGCGGGTGAGCGCCCCTTAAAAGATTTAGACTCCTGGAGTCAAAATCTCTAAAGGGGCGATTTGGTAGAGGCCGTTCAGACGGTCCATACAAACCAGCTCCATTTTGGAAGATGTGCCCAGATGTTTAGCATAGGGCATGAGGGGGCTCTTGCAAAATCAGATCTGCGTATGGGGGTCCGGAGCGTGTTCTTACATGGCTCTGATGTTGTTGGCAAAGGTTATTTAATGTCAAACAGCCAAGGGGACACAGCTCATTTATCTTGGACAGGGGTTGTTGGTGGAGCTGCTGATCTCAAGCAGTTGCCCGATGTCTGCAGCTGTGTTTCGTCATGGACCCTAGATAGTCCCCAACAAATAGAAATGCGTTCCTGGGTACAATGACCAAAAAGAAAGTCATAAACAACTTGAAGCTGTCATCTGTAGTTCCACTTGCCAGGAAGCGAGCGTCACGGAAGCGCAGGGGGCTTGAGCAGCCTCATGGGAGAGTTTCTGGAACGAAGGGTCCTTGAGGATATAAATGTGGGTGCTTCGTCTGTGTTCTTTTTCAACATTACGCTACCATATTGGACGGCCGAAAAGGGAAGTGCCAAGACGCCACTGCAGCTCTCCCACCTTAGACCAGAGCAAGGGGGAATGGTCAGGTAGCAATTCAGGCGGGCTCGGGAGAAGGGGAGAAGACAGGGCGAGGCCGCAAGGCCTGCCTGTTCCAGAGCGCTGTCGGCCAGAGGCCTTGACAGATCTTGAGGAACCGCGTATCTCCAAGGCTCTGCCTCCGAGAAGGAAGCGTCTAGGCCACCACTGACCTGCTGAAAGAAGAGAGGGCACCTGCATCTTGACGCAGGGGAGAGGATGTTCTGGATGCTATGATTGCCTACAGTAATTGCAGCTCCTTGAACTGCGATTGTCGTCAGAGTGCTATGGTGTCAGTTTGCAGTTTTGAGCAGGAGTCAGTGCACAGAAGCAGCTGTCCATGTTGCAGGTCCGCCTCTGGCTCTCGCCACGGCCCTGCTTTCTGGAAGAAAGGTACAGAGAAGTTATTCAGACTAAGTAACGTGCTAAAGTTGTTCAACTTTGGCTTAGGCCTGTGCTTTTCAGACATGACTCATGCCTCACAGCTGGAATCTGGCATGGCTAGTGCGGCTAGCAGCTGCCAGTCCAGAAGCTTGACTGACTTTCCGCAGCAGGCTTCTGCTAGGATTCCTGCTTGAGTGGATCAGTGGTTTCTTTCTCACAACAGGAAGCAGGACTCAGCCTCAAATCCCAATGACTGACAGTCAACATATGCAGCGAAACGAAATCACACCTTGCTCTTGGTGTCTCGCTGCATGCCCCAGCGCACCATATGGTTGCCTTGGAGCCCAGCTTGAGATGGATCTGGCTTGGCCGTTGCTGGCAGACCTCAGCAGATGCTGGAGCCTCACAACATCTTTGCTAGTTTGATAACTGCCAACACGCTTCTCTTGGCCCTCATGTACGTTGCTTGTGATAATCTGGGCTTTGTGGACAAACTTCGCCAGGGCGACGGGAGCGGCCATACGCGTACAACTCCTGGAGGCAGGTTGCAAGGGGAAAGCGGAGATTGAGAAGCACAGCGATTCTACAAGCCATACAGCCACCACCGCTCCGCTGCTACTCATACTCCAGTTCTACCTGTACTATTTTGTACTGCTTCATGTTCTTCTCTGACTGTTGGTCCCTTACCATGAGATGCTCGCCTTGAATTCTTCAGTTGTACCAGCAAAGATATACCTGAGGCAGAGCAAGTACAACGCATCTTTTGCTAACCTTCCCCTTGTTGCGCAATGTTTACGAGGGCAGGGGCAGCTTCATGACAGAAGTTGTGCCATCTTGGCTGACAGGCGCGGGGGCTGGCAGACGGCTGCAAACATCCCTATTGCGTAACTTGGCTTGACTCGCTGGGGCAGAACCTCAATATGTTCTTAACGAAGCGCACATGTTCGGGAAGGGCTCAGGTAGGCCTTAGACCGCGTGGAGCTCGTGAGCCCCTCGTGAGTTCGCAGCACATGGACAGCATGGAACACAGCAAAAATGCGACGCTGTGTGCATTGTGGGCGGGGATTGAGGTGGTGCGCCTTGGCGACAAGATCGAAAAATCTGGCGTCGGCACTGCCGGGTCTGACCCGGAGACTCAACTTGCAAGGATTTGAGTGGCTGGTGCTTTAGCTTGGAGTAAGCCGCCAAGGCACAGGCTTTAGCCTGAAAGTGATTGACGTCTTTCAGCATATCGCTTTCTGGGGGATTGGCTTGGGTATGACTAGCACCTTCTGAATGCCTTTTCTGAGCATCACCTCCGAACCCCCCCTTCCTAATTCCTCTTAAAAATGGGTAGCCCTTGTCACCTATAAAATGGGTTCTTCATTTTATGGAGGGGTCATTTTTCATAGTGGGTATTTCGTGGGGGTCCTTACTTGAGCCATTTTATAGTGGGTGTAGCATAGATGTGGCGTGCCCTATTTTGTTTCTGGGATGCTTGGGAGATGGATGTTATAGTTTAGAGCTTCCTCAAGAACCTCATTGTATAGACTTTTCGGGGTACCCCCCAAAACAGTTAAGACCCCCATTTCATAGACCGATTTTTACTATAAAACGGGGTCCCTAGGCTTTACCTGCAGAAAACCTCCACGAGCCATAGCGAGGTGTGGAGGGAGGCAGACGGGGCGGTCACAGTGACGTGGGACGCTGGGATGCAGCCTGTTTTGGTCTTTCACGATGGCTCTACATGTGTCCAGATGCCAATTACAAGCTATCCCCAAGTTCCTTCCAAGCCAGGATGCAGAGGACTTCCTGGAAATCACCATCAGGGAGAAGGGCTCCACCCTTTGGACCGAGGCAGGTGTGCAGTGCATGCCGCAGTCAGCGGGCGACCGCCATGGTGCGGCAATTCCTTGAAAATTTGTAATTCAAGGGTGGGCAAGCGGTTTCGTACCATAGCGCGCTCGTTTGACGTTCCCTTGGTGCGAATTCCCGAGCCTGCAGGACTCCAAGGTCGGCGTTGCACATGTGAACGTTTCTGCACTGGCACGCCTGGCACCTTGGCATTGCAGCGTTAAAGAAAAAGACAAGCAAAGGTCAGGCCGCATCTCCAAGTTTGGGAAGCACCATTACAGCTTTAGCTAGGTAGGCCTAGATCTGGACATGAGACAGCCAATCTCCTTCGCAAGTTGTTGGGCCAGCGCTTGTGCACAGAGAGCGGCGCGGGGTGCGGGAGTGCTGTGCATCTTTGGAGGCAAAGTTCCGCGGAGCACTTCAGGCAAGGAGCTATCGGAAGAATGTTGCGGAGTGCCACTGAAACTGCCGGCTTGCCAGGTGTACCGCCGTGGGACTGAGAAGGACCTCTGGTGAGAAACGATTCTTGAGAAGCTGAACTGTTTTTGCAGCCTGCCATGACACAAGGAAGGCTTAGCATAAAATGGAGAGGTTGCACTGGGGCATGCAGGGGGAGGCATGCGAACTTCAAAAGTGCTTCGCTGGACAGGCTGGTGTCCTCTTCGTTGATCTCCAAACAAAGGAGCTCGGATTCAAGGGGCGCGCATCAGCATCTGGACCTGGACCTGAGCTCGAGGACATTCCCCCGATGGCTGCGGCGAGGCTGCTGCAGCCCGCTCTGGTGATGCTCTTCCACATTCAGTGGCCGGAATTTAAGCGAGATTCGAGCTAGCCAGTCCTTAGTCCCAGTAAATCATCCAGAGCCCTTACCTTCATGGGCTATGTTGAAGCTTCCCAGCCTGCGCAAACCAGGAAAGTCCACAGTAATGGCCTGATGGGGGCAGTGGCTGCTGTTGCAGATTTCGAAGCGTTGGACATCTTCAAGACTTATTGTCTTGTACTGGGGGCGTGGCCTGGCTGATGATTCTTCAAATTCTGGGCCTTGGGAGCTTTCCACTTCAAAGGACTGCCGAGAAGTTTGGCGATCTCTTCAATTCCAATTGGGACGAGCTATGCACTCAGGAGCTTGGACTCACTCTAGAAAAGTGGGTCAGGTTTGGCGAGACTCTGCGCAATAAAAAGGATATTTCTGGATACAGCCACTGTGCATGTTCTGACGCCACATTGCTTGCGCCCGCATGTTGGAATTGCCACTTCAAAGCTTGCTTCAAAGCTGCAACCCTGAATGCTAACATGTCCTGTGTGCTGAGTACTAAGGGAGCACAAGAAGCTGTTCAAGGATCCGCTCAAAAAGGCACACACTGCACCTGCTCAGCTTATGTTATTCGTGATTGGCATGAAAAGGCTCGCCAAGCGTGTTTTGCAGGTAGTTCAGGCAGAACACTCATCGCTTTACAGCTGCTCGGAGGCATCTGGCTAGGGATGCGCCTGGCAGCTGCACTAGGCATTGCTAAGTTCAGGTGATGGAGTGTGCCCGCATTTTACCTACTGGGGCGGAAAACGCAACGAGAAGATAGCGCTGGGAAGAGGCTGAGGGCGCTGGTTCTGCATCTTTCAACATGCGCGTTCTCGGCAGCCTCCACCAGGCAACCACTTTCTGTCCTTGCTTGGCAACGGTGTGCGCAAGGGGCGGAGGCAGCATGATAATACCCCCAGCAAGTGTAATGAAGAATCAGATGGGAAAACAGAAAATGTTATGGAAAGTGGGATCAGTTTCCGTTTCATGATCCATGTCCGTTTCCATTTGACTCTCCATTCTTGAGGGCTTGGTAGCTCGATGTAGCTCGCGAGTCTCCAGGCGCGTGTTCACCTACGTTTTGCTGGACGAGGGCATGTTCTTCTCAGCCACTCAGCGTTCAAGTGTACCTACGTTCTGTTAGCTCAGAAAGACAAGATGCTAAGGTTCAATCATGACATGTTGTGTAGCATTCAGGAGACCGGGGCTAACATCGCAAAAGACTTCTTCAGTATCTTGGATGTCTTTAGTTGGCATGTTCCTTGGGCTCGTTAGGCAAATTCGATGCAGACCATCCCCTGCAGGCAAGCATGCCGTCCATGCCAATGCCTCCCCTGCTGTCACCTGGACTTCATCTGCTGCTGCGGCAAGTCATGGGGCTCTAGACAATGCGAACTCGATTAAACATCATTCTTGAATGATGGTGTCAGACGGGCGTCGTGTAAGTATGCTAGCCAGCGGTGCAGTGTTGCTCCATCAGCGGACCCCCAGTTTGGAGACATTCGCAAATGCAGCTACCCACTGAACTGTGAAGCTGCTTGGCTCCCACTGCAAGCGCTGAGGTGCGCATGGCGGGCACCTTCCGCTTCTGCGAGACGTCGCAAAGAGCGCCTGTCCTCGTTGTAGATAACGATTCCGGCACCTACAGACCGCCTGAGCCCCAGGCAGGGCAAGAAGCATGGCACGTCCTTTGTCAATGCTTTGTATCATATCTGTACTTGTGAGTCCTTGAAATTTCAGGCTTCGAATAACAGAGTCGCTCCAATGGCCAAGCAAAGGCGATGAAAGCATAAATGCCCTCCTTTCCAAATTAGTTGGAAATGTAAACATGGGAACACCATTGGGTGGCTCAAGTGCCCGCTGTGGTTTAGGCTAGCTCTTAAGCCTGTGTACGCCATGTGCGCGCATGCATTGGTTTCAGCGGCTTAACAAGTGCGAAGATCTAGTGGTCATAAAAGTGCGCCAAGAAGAACCAGACCGGCGTCGAGCGAGGAATGGGGTAGCTCCCAACTAGTGGAACCTGGTCAGAGCGGCAAGAAAGGCGGATGCTAGAAGTGCCGGAAATGCTGCAAGCAACATCAGATCCACGGAGCCAACATGACGGGACCCTTTCAAGGGCTCTTGAGACATCTTGAGACATTGCTAACTAGTACTTCAGACTTTGGCAGGTGTTGTGGGCTTCTGCTGTTGCGAGATGCTCCTCAGACTGCGTCGGGGTACAAGGTGGATTAAGGCTGCGCACCCACGAGTTGTAGAAGCGGCTCCCCCCTTGCTGCTTGAGTTGTTGGCTTATCTGAGTCAGAGATTGCAATGATTGCCATGTCAGAGTTACTGCAGGGCACCGCACATTCAAGAGTTTTCGCATCCTTGTGACAGGAGCTGATTCCTGAGCTCATGTGATTGAAGCAGGACTTCCACGCAGACAGGATTATTTTTTCTCCTCAGACATTCGTAGCAATCAAATCTGCATGACAATCAGTGATGATTTTAACTAACCTCTAGTTGCCCTCCAATAGTGTTGTTGGCAGCCATGGGGGGCTTCTGCGACCTGCTGGGGGATGGAAGGCTGCTGAAGCGCGTCGAGCTGGAGGGCATTGGAAGTCCACCGAAGAAGGGTGACATGGTTCGGGTTCAGTACGAGACACGCCTCGAAGGGACATGTGTGGACTCCATGTCTGACGATGCTTTCGAGTTCACCCTCGGCGAAGATCAGGCTTACCGCTCAAACAAGGTTTTGGCTCTTGATTGCTTGCTTGTTTTCGTTGACTCATAGACGGGGCAATAGGCGTGCTGAACGCAAGCTGCGGGTGATCCGTGTCTGCCCAGGTGCTTGAGGCTTGGGACTTGGGAGTGGCCACGATGCGCCCTGGCGAGCGCAGCACTTTTACAGTTCACCCCAGCCTTGCTTACGGTGAAGATGGGGCTGGAGAGGACTGAGCCTAAGTCTAAACATTCCAATCTTGCATCATGATTGGCAATCGCTTCCTGAGCAAACTTCTCAAGTGCTGAACTGAAGTTGCGCCTTTGCCAGTCAGCATTGCACAGAGAAATGGTGAACGGTAACCATGCCGCTGCCCGCTACACTGTTGTTGTTCTGCCGTGCTGCGCGCAGGAGATCCCGCCATCTGCCACTCTGGAGTTTACAATCCACCTTTTCCCAGAGAAGACCAAGAAAACAGATGCAAAGCCAGACCGGAAAAAGGAGCAGGCTGCCTCTGGCAAATTTTCTGGCGACGAGCAACGGCTCCTTCGAGCACAGGAGGCTAAAGCTCGTGGCAATGGCTTGGTGAAGGCCGGAGACTATGCAGCTGCATCTGCAGCATACAAGGAGTCTCTAATGTTGATGAAGGTGTCGCAGACGCATTCCGGGGATGTAGAGCTGCTCCGGGAGAGCGGAAACCTTCGTACTGCGTGCCTCTTGAACTTGTCTCAGTGCGCATTGAAGATGGATGACCCAGCCACAGCTGCTCAACATGCCACAGATGCCTTGGAACTTGAGCCAGCCAACTGCAAGGCATTGTATCGACGGGCTCAGGCACGCCTTGCCTCGGGGTCTTTGGAAGAAGCCAAGGACGACTTGATGGCAGCTCTGCAAGTCGAACCGCAGAACAAAGACATCCGTGAACGCCTGGACGCTTGTCGCAAGCGTCTGCAGCAAGCTGCGCATTGGCATAAGCAAGCATTTGGGGGACTCTTTGGGAAGGTCCCGCAGCAGAAGGCGATACAGCGATCATCGGAGAGCCTGCAATCTCTGCCAAAGGTTTGGATGGAAATCCAGATAGGTGCCAGGGTGGTTGGTAAGGTCGAGATTCTCTTGTACAGGGATGCGGTGCCTCGCACAGCCGAGAATTTCCTCAGGCTTTGCGCTGGAGATCTGGGTTCGGGCAAACGCGCTCGGCTGCACTACCGCCGCTCACGCATCCACAGAGTGGTGCCTGATCATGGTTGAAGAATCTTTCGCAGAAGCGATATGTATGCATACATATGGTAACTACTCACTATAACGTTCATATCACGTAATGATAGCATGCCTTAAAGTACTACAGAATGAGAGTAGCTAACAGACAAGACAGGTCAAAGGATGCCTTATCGAGGCTGGCGACATTGAGAAAGGCAATGGTACGGGCGGGGAGTCCATCTATGGATGGGGCCTTAGTCATCAAGACAACTGACGGGGGTTTTATGATAATCTGACATGTCTACCGATGGTTACCTTTTTGCACAAAGGAAAGGCGTGCATGTTTGTATTGCACTTTTGAAGTTAGAAGCTGACATCAAGCAACAAAGCTGTAAATGCCCTTCGTTTCTGCCAAGGTCCAACCTTTTCTGACGAAGCATTTGTGGACGCTCATCACAGGAGAGGGCTGCTGTCCATGGCCAACAAAGGTCCAAACACGAATGGCTCCCGCTTCATATTCACTCTCCGATCACTGCCAGAGTTCGATGGCAAGCAAGTTGTATTTGGCGAGGTAGCCTCTGGCATGGACGTCTTGGACGCAATGGAGGCTGTTGAAACTGAGTACCCTGACTGGCCTTTGACGCCTATCAGCATAAGTCGATGTGGCGTGGCTAGTTTACCCGATGCCTGAAAGTGTGGCACGACATCATCACATTGAAGCAAAAGAAGCTTGAGTTGTTGCATGCGTCCAACTTCAGGGATTGCAAGCAAAGGCTTCGAACGATACTGTACACGTGACCTCAAAGCAACAGGACTCCTGTCATCAACACACCCGTGGACGAAGGTCATTGTCCATTTTTGTCACATATTTGCAAACCTTTTCTTGGTGGACCGATGCAGTCAATGCTCTGGAACCTCATTCTTTCAGCATGCATGTGGCAGCATTCAGCATAGGGCGTCCGCGTTGCACTTCATCCATCCCAGCCTACGATCACATCATCCTGAAGCTAGCAAGAAAGGCGTGCCGCTTGCTTCATAGGTTAGCAGCTGGTGCATCATGCCTTTGAGCCAAGGTCGTCTGACCACTTACCCATCCTCAAGGCGCGTTGTCAGCGTTGAAACGGGTCACCACTTGGGCGCTCATGGAGGAAGTGCTGGAGCTTAACTTCCCAGGGCTCATTGTGCCTTGTCGCATCGTGAGATGGACGCGTTGATGCATGCTGCTAGCTGGTAGCATGATGGACACTGTTTGGACGTGAACCTGAGGTGCGGACCCTGCCCGTCACAGAGCCGCAGCCAGAGGAGCAGATTGTTGCAGCCCCTTACATTTTCTACCCCGATCCTTTCAAGTGGGAAGGACACCTTGGAGTTCTCGGGGCCCAACGAGACAAAGGGCTCGATGCATGGCTTCACATCTTTAGGCGAAGCTGGCAAAGTTCTGGGAACAGCCACGGTATTTAGTGCTGTCTTGGCAAACATTCTGCGGTAAGGAAAGGCTGCGTGTATGCTGGGCAGTGGAAGTCGCTCGCCTCAGCTTGACCTCTTCGGCTGCTTTGCCTGTTCCAGCCCTCCGTGAGGTGGCAAGTGGAGTCAGAGGAGGAGCTGAAGACGAGCTCTATTCAGGCTGGGAACCCTTAGTTCAATCTGCTTCTTCAGATGCCTGTACACCAACATTCTGCTAGGCATGTCCTACTCTCTTGATGCTTTTTTTTCGCGTAGGGATGCGGTTTGCCTACTAGCACGTGATAGCGCATAGTCAACGCTGCTGCAGATTGCCCAGCTAAGGCTGCGGCCAGCGTCTGGGAATGGAAAAACCGGAATGGTTGGCAGCGCTATTCGAAGGAGGTGCCTTCTGCAAGACCACGGATGTTTCAACCGTTTGAATACGGGTCATGTACACGACAACGGCACAAGAAGAGCAACAACAGGCAACAAATTTACGGAAAGCCACAAGCAAAGAGGAAACTGACTGCCGTTCTGAGTTATGCGTATACAGCAAAGACCTCTCAGTCTTGTGAACGCATTACTCATTGTGATTTGGTCTTTGGCACTCTTCTTGTAGCTGCTTACCTTTGTTACTGGTGCTGGCTTCGTTCCAAATCTGTGACTGCTGTGGAGTGGCACGTGCCATGCGGCCATGCATGAACCACTCTTGAGGACGAATGTTTGTTGGATCAGCTGCAAGTGGAATGCAATGGGCAACAAGCAGAAACTTCTGCGCGACTTGGCATGCAGCACCCTCTTAATGCTTCAGGGACTCCATGGAAGAGGTTGGCACTGAAGAAATCGGTTAAGTAGGAGGAGTTGGTGCCTCCTTGAAAGATGCCCATGCCCCAAGGTTTTCGTTCGGAGCCTGAGACAGCAAGAAGCTACCAGCAACCTGTCGTGCTGCGAGCGCCATGTACTCCGGCCACACATTCCTCCTCCTGAGGACGAGGCACAGCATACAAAGTGGATTTTGTCGAAAGCATCCAGACCCTCGGCTGTGTCAGCGGTAAGTGCCACATCATGGCATGGTGTCGGGCACCTTTGGTGCGTGAGTTGATTTTGATGAGGACAAATCTCAAGACTGGTTCGGGGCTTAATTGTGTGCTAGGCCACTAGGCATGACAAATGAGCACCTAGCAAGCCCAACATGTCCTCCTCTTCTCTGTCAAGCTGGAGGTCGGGTCAGGGAGATGCGCCAGATCTTGAGTGGAAGCCACTTGCCACTGAGAGAGCATATCTGCCCATATGCTCTAACATGCACACAGGAGCTGTCAGCTTGCATAGTAGTCGGTAGCAACCTCTTTGTAAACGAAGAAAACATGGCCTGATTGAAGGCTACGTCCCTTCCTGGGAGATAAACTTTGGAGGCGTGGAGTGGAAGGCCGATTTCGAGACCCAAGTGACTTTGGGACTTCCAAAAGTTTGGTTCGGCTTGATAAGGAATTCGGATGTTTCGGGCCTATTTGTTGGTGATCCAGTGCAAGCAGGCGTGCAGCTTCCACGATGCGGTTGCCATCGAGCGACTTGCCTTGCGGGCTTCATGACCACTGTTGACTGTGAACACGTGTGAACATGATCTGGAATGTTGTTACGAATGACAAAAAGCCCTTCATGACCGTTACCTTCAATGCTGCTACTGCAGCAAAATGACTGCTTTAGCCTTGGCGGTTGTTGCGCTGTCATCGCCACGAACAGCTGCAACCACCACCGCTGCTGCAACAGCAAACCGCCACTGCCACCGCCACCGCCATGCAAAAAGTACTTCCGGTCATTATGCTCCCAATGCTGACAGCTCGTATTCAATCTCATTTGGCAACATTTATCACGGCTGTCTCGTCTTGTCTATGATCGCAGCATGATGGGGCGGATGTTGATGCTTGCTTGCACTCCTATTTGAAGAGAAAGCTAGGCCCTGTCAGAAGCAAAACTGCTTCATGCTTTAGGTCTCTGGCGCCTGAGCTTGCCCGTTTTGCATTTGTAGCAGCTGGAAGTGATCAAAGGATGAGACCCAGCATTCACATTTGGTGTTGAGGTGTCACAATTTGGAGCTTCTGCAGCCAAGCATCACAGCTTGATGCACAACGCCGAGGCAAATCTACATCGCCGCCCCTCCAGCAGCACCCTCAGGGGAATTGCGGGATCCTGTCAAGCAAGATTGCCCATTCAATGGATGAACCCTTCTTGAGCACCAGCTAGGGCAGTTGGCAAAAAGCATCAACGCGTGGATGACAAGAGCGTCAGCTTTCTTCAGAGGAGGGACGGAGAAAATGGGTGTGGGGCCAGGGCACATCTGCATGTATTGCGTAGAAGCAGAGACAGGCGCTAGTTACAGACAGCCTGTGTTGGATACATGGAATTTCGCAGTCCTGCCCATGCAGGCGAGTAGCCCTGCCAAGATCTATATGTGCTCTCTTCAGTGGCGTCATAGGCAGTCTGAAAGATGTACGCTTCACGCTGGTTCAAGCCACTGTCATGTTGAGAAGCGGTCATCGCTCACGAAATTTCCGACGACGCTTCATTTAGGCAAGGAACGAATAGCTGTACCTGAAATTTGTGAAGTGGTCCAAGGATGCACGAGTTCCTCTTGCATTGAGCAGCTCCTCGGACGCAAGCATTTCCTCCAGAAATCCATGAGCAGTTTGCAAGGGCCATCTTGGTTTCTGCAACCCTCACTTCTTCCGCAGTGTGGCTCCAAATTAAATGACATTGACATTCAGTTCGATCCCATCACACCAGAAGCAAATACTTTGTCACGTGAGCGTGCCAGCCAGCAACGAAGACAGGAAAGCAAGGAGTGTCATCGGCAAGTGCTTGTGGTAGTTCTATGCAGTTGACATGCGAAATGCAAGGGTGTGGTCAATTCTGGCCTTCGGTCTTTTTCTGCTGGTTGTCTGGCAACCCAGAAGCCCACGGGGCTTCGCAGCTGAAGCGTCCCCTTCCAGGCGCCGGGCCGAGCGGTCGGAAAAGCGATTTGCTGCCTCGGCACGAGAGAGGGGTGAGGCCTTCCTCAGCAAACGTGAGGAGAAGCTGTTGAAAAGCATCGTCGGGGCTGGAAGACGCCGTGACTGGAATTGCGTACAGGAAACCATCTGCGATTATGATGGTGCTCAGACGCCAATTTATAGTGCGGCACTTTTTGCAGCAATACGATGTGGTCGGTTTGAGGAGGGTGCCAGCATCTATGATGAGATGTGCCGCCGTGCTGTCTGGCGCGATCTACCAAGCTTTTCCATGGCATTGAAAATTTTCTCCAAGTCTTTTCCTGACCGGGTTCCTCTGATCTGGGAGGAGGCGGTGGCCCTGCACCCGCTGGATGCGGCCCTTTGCGCTGCAAGAATCGATGCTGCCGCAGAGGCCGGTGACGTCGAAGCTGCTCGGCAGATCCTTGTGGAGATGGATCGCAAATCCGTAGCACGAAACCTCGTGCACTTCACTGCCGCCATCCGTGCCTGCACAAATGCGGATGATCAGGAGAGCCATGAGATGGCCAAGCACTTCTTTGAGCTGGCTTTAGGGCAGGGTGTGGAACCTGACCTTGTTGCATTCCGTGAGCTAATCGGCGCATATCGTCAGGCTCCCCTTCCTGAGGTCCAAATGGTTTCTGCCTTCATGAAAGATATGGGCTTGCAAGCTGATAATGCATTCAATGACGCCTACTTGAGAACAGTTCTTAAGATTCCCAAGGGTCGAAAGTTTCAGTCAGCAGCTGAGATCTCAACAATGATCGGAAAGCTGCAGGATGTGGACAGATTGACGGAAGCCCGTGCCACCTTGGCCACATTTGCAGAGGAAGGTTTGCAGCTAACTGCTCTGGGCCATCTCCTGAACGGAGCACTGCAGCAACTGCAGTGAGTCAGAAGATGCCGTAACACGGATGGGAGAGGAGAATTCGGCTGCACCTATTCTTCGGACTTAGTGTTTCATCATACTATAAATGCTAGTTGGCCTGAGCGGTGGCAATGTCTCGAAGCATCTAGCACCCGCCGCCAAGCAAACAAGGAAGCCATGCGGAGCAAATTAGAGGCTTAACATGGCAGCGCCAAGTCGTGCTGCACAAAGGTGTTTCCGTGGAGCAAGAAGGCAGCGAGACAAAAAGGTGCACTCGCAAGAGTTTCGCTGAAGGTCAGGTATTTGGGGAATGGCTGAGGGGCAATGCTGGTAGGATTTGGCACGCCGAGTAGGGGCCAAATAGGCTACAGGTAT